TTTGCTTTCTTCTTCCACCAATCTGTCTGCCCCTACATGGGTTAGTTGGTTGTGACTTCAGGTGTATGCATGGGGGAGACATAAAGTGGACTTTCTCTTTTGAAAGAGAAGTATATGAACGTTTTTTTAGCAAATCTGCTTTGGAGTTTACCATTGTTTGAGGCTCCAGCATGTGTGGGACATTTAATAGGAGACCTCTTTTTCCCGGAGTCCTACTAATTATCTTGCTACCACTGGCTTAGGAATAATTCTGGCAAAAGTCACTGTTTCAGTGAAGACCATGCTCCTGATAGGCTATATTACAAGCTCTTCTTTAATGCAGCACAGAATTCAGAGGTTCTGATCACATTTTAATCTATGTCCAAAGAATATTACGCAATTGTTCAGAGATGTGATTTAGCCACGCCCGCCCCAAAAGTGTGCTGTTCCTGTGACACTGATACAGGTCATTAGCAGTATAAGTCCTGAGTATGACCCCTTTTTGCATTATAAAGTAATATACAATTGTGTGACCCCCACTACAGGTGGCTTTTTCTCCCAACTCCTCCCACCCAGGGTGCTGGCATTTTGTGACTTGCTCCCACCAACTGCACATAAATGACCAGAAATGAAACGCTGGTTCTGATCACCCAATGTTTTATTCAACTCCACATTTCTCGCACAAACTCCTCCTGCTGATGCATTTCACTTCCAAGAGCTTAGTTGTAGAATTCCAATTAAACTGTCATGGGGTCAGAGTCCACAAGACTTGCGACCTTCAGCAAAATAGCATGGTGTATTGTGCATATGCAATATTGATACAAGTATTGTGACCGTTAAGGATGTCCCAATACTAGTATCGGTGCCGATACTCGGCATTTTCATGAGTAATTGTAATTGTAAAAATGCCCAGTTACTTACATTTTTCAACAATTTCGGCTGCCTGAGGTCCCACGCTTGCTGACGTCCAGTGCATATACCTGGTGACACCAGAAATGGCAGAATTGCTACCATATCTTTAAGGTCTACCATTGCAGCCTATAGAAATTGTTACCCAAGACAGGCCCAAGATAGCTGAAGGACGGTGGCTGCAGTACAGTACACATTGCTGCAGATAACCCAGAGTGCCCAAAGGGGGTCAGTTTGGGGAGGTTTGTGTTTAGTGCAGGCAAAAGTTAAAATATATGCCACCATATTACAAATTTACCCTTGGTTTTACTCCACCTTTTATCACAATAAAGATTCAACTGTTCTTTCCTGTATATGGTATCAAATTCCTGGTCCGCTCTGATATCTGTTCTGCATTATTCACCTGAATCCTACACTGTTTTGTATCATTGGGAGTTTACCGAGTTCCATTGTCTGTGACATTTCTCTAATCCGCCATAACATTATGAACACGGAGAGGTGAAGTGAATAACAGTTATTATCTCGTTACAATGGCACCTTGGAATTGGGTGGGATATATTGGGCAGCAAGTGAACATTTTGTCTCTGAAGTTGGTGTTGGAAGTATTAAATGGGCAAGCGTAAGGATTTGAGTGATTTTCACAAGGGCTAAATTGTGATGGCTAGACGACTGGGCAGAGCAACTCTAACACTGCAGCTCTTGTGGTATGTTCCTGATCTGCAGTGGTCAGGACCTACCAAAAGTGGTCCAAGGAAGGAAAACTGGGTCATGGGCAGCCAAGGCTCAATGATGCACGTGGGAAGCGAAGGCTGACCCGTGTACTCCGATCTAATAGAAGAGCTACTGTAGCTCAAATTTTGGTTCTGATAGAAAGGTGAACACACAGTGCATCACAGTTTATTGCGAATGGCCCTGTGTAGCTACAGACCGGTCAGGGGTGCCGATGCTGATGCCTGTCCCCTGCCAAAAGCACCTGCAATGGGCACAAGACCATTGGCACTGGACCATGGAGCAATGGAAGAAGGTGGCCTGGTCTGATGAATCGTGTTTTCTTTTACATCATGTGGATGGCTGGGTGTTTTGCTTACCTGGGGAAGAGATGGCACCAGAATGCACTATAAGAAGAAGGCAAGCCAGCAGAGGCTGTGTGATGCTTTGGGCAATGTTCTGGGAAACCTTGGGTTTCCCGGAACCATTTATGTGGATGATACTTTGAAATGTACCACCTACCTAAACATTGTTGCTAACCAAGTACACCCCTTCCCTGATGGCAGTGGCCTCTTTCAGCAGGATAATGTGCCCTGCCACACCACAAAAATGGTTCAAGAATGGATTGAAGAACACAACAACGAGTTTGAGGTATTGACTTGGCCTCCAAAATCTCCAGAACTTGTTCTAATCGAGCATCTGTGAGATGTGCTGGTAAAACCACAAAAAACAAGTCCGACCGATGGAGGCCCCATGGATTGGATAGGATCTGCTATTGACAGGTTGGTACCAGATACAACAGCATACGTTCGGAGGTTAGTGGAGTCCATGCTTCGATGAGTCAGGGCTGTCTTGGTGGCAAAAGGGAGACCTACTCAATATTAGGCGGCTGGTCCTAATATTATGTCTGATCAGTGTATAAATAAAAAAAACAATATATATGCCATCCTAATTTCTCCAGATAGACAGGCTTAGGAATTTAGGACTTGGTGGTCTGCATATTTGTGGGATAAGGAACTGGGAATTCCAGGAAACAATTTTTACCGTGGAGCACAAGTCTTTGCAGAGAGGCCTGCACAAAATAGATCTGCATAGGTATGCTTTATCCCCTCTGTATTAATGCGATGTTCTATGTTTGACTAAAATGCACTTCTAAATGCTACATCATTTCCATGACAAAAAAAGTTTTATCGTTTTCAGCAAGCAAAAATTGAAGAAGAATCACACAAATACAGACAGGCAGCAGGTGACGCCTCTACATCTGAAGATTCAAGAAAACCAAGAATAAAAAAGAGCGCTTATTTCAGTGATGAGGAAGAACTGAGTGACTGAATTAATTACTGTACAGTTTTAGTGTATTTGTATTGTGTACATTTTTTTTTTTCTACATTAAAGTGGACCTTTTACCCCCTTACACTAAAAATCACATCAGCATGAGCTCTGAATGCTGATTTAAAAATCATATTACATTCATTAGTTAAACAAACATGCTTCATTTACATGCAAATAGAGTGTTCCATTTTGGCATAAATTATGTAATAGTGCCGAAGCATTGCATCTGTTCCAGGAAGTAAAGGGAGATCTGGTAACCTGCCCTTAGTTGAAATGGCCACTGTCGGAAGACTTGGGAAGAAAAGAGAAACAAGATATGCATAGAATACAAAGTCGGCAATTATCTAGAAGTATGTGTTTGTAGATTGTAATTACTAAACATTTCTAAAGGTGCCTTTGTGATTTTAAAGATGTAAGTAAAGTTCCTCTTGAAGGTACCATTGGCATTAAACAGTTCTTGAGCATGACTTTCACAGCAAAGCAGATCTACCTTCACTTTAGCTGTTTTGCATACACAGACCTTAACTGGCCATACATTTGTTTGTTTTGTTTATGCTGCTCAGTTCCCCCATGCACGCTAAACAGTGGATATGGGAATCTTCCTTGCCTGCTATTGTACCCCACGGCAGAACCCAAAAAGTGAATGCAGCTAATTGGGTACATTCTCTGTTCAGCTGCCAATTTTCACCGGTTTAAACATGGACTTTCGTTGAATGGAAGGGTGTCAACAGGGCCAGCCACAGCTTGTATTTCAGCTAATTCAGCAGCAGTCTGCTCCAATTTGAGAAGTGTATGGCCAGCTTTAGAGGGTGGTAAGGTGTCCTTTATTAAATGATTACATTGCTGTCTGCTTTTATAGATGATATTGGACACCATTTCTATATTTCTAGTGACATTGATAAAACAAATATCTGACACCTGCAGGCTACATCACATTTTGGTCAGCTACTTTCAGATTTATTTTTATACCCGGTGTTTTTTTATACAAAAACAGGATTTGTATTAAAGTGTATGTAAACCCCAATAATGAACTTTTCTTATTTGTTCCTTTTGGTCTGTGACATAGAACAAAATGCTATCAATGGTAGCTCTGTTTGAAAAGTGCAAAGAACAAGACTTGATCCTGCTAGAAATCCAGTTCAGACATGTGCACTCTGCTTATCAGCTCTAGTTACCCTCAGAGTTTTGCTCTGTGTGCTACTAAAGACCCCCACCCACACATGTTATAAAGATAGGGTAGTGTTATATAGTCCTAATACACCTCGTCCTAGGGGAAATTCTGCTCCTCAATAAATATAGTGCATTTGAATGCAGCTTCTAGACTCATTCACTTGACCAACCGCTCAGTGTCTGCAACCCCCCTCTGCCAATCTCTACACTGGCTTCCACTTGCCCAAAGGATATAATTCTAAATATTAATAACCACTTACAAAGCCATCCACAACTCTGCCCCCGGCTATATCTCAAACCTTGTGTCAAAGTATCACCCCAACCGCCGCTCTTCCGAAGACCACCTGCTTTCCAGCTCCCTCGTCAACTCCTCCCATACTCGCCTCCAGGACTTCACTAGAGTCTCTCCCATACTATGGAACTCTCTACCCTAACCTGTCCGTCTATCTCCCACTCTGACTGCCTATAGGCGATCCCTTAAGGCTCATCTCTTCATGGAAGCCTATGCCACCTCAACCTAACCACTGAAATATCACTTTCTCAAACAATTCATCACCACACAGCTACCTCCTCATGTATCACTTGCCCCTCCCTTTTAGATTGTAAGCCCTCATGGGACAGGGCCCTCCTTACCGTCTTGTATTGTAATGTCTTCCTTATATTGTAAAGTGCTGTGCAAACTGCTGGCACTATATAAATCCTGTATAATAATCTAATACTACCAGTTATGCATTTTGCATGCAACTTTACATGCATTTAACCACACCAGAAAAGGCACATGTGTGAAAGTAACAGTGGTATCACTACATAATCTTATCTTTGTTCCCATTAATATCAGATTGTGTAAAATGATTTCTCTCTAAGACACTCAGAAACAATTGATGGAATAATCGGAACGAATTATGCTCGTAAACCAAGGTATTACTGTATGTTGGGCAATACAAAGGCAAGTCAGCAGTCACCTCCTTTGCAGCATAGTGAAATAGATGTGCTGCTTATATGTTTTTCATCAAGTGGTTACATTTCTAAGTAGCAAGCCTAAACCACTGTATTTCCATATGGAACGTCACTTTGTATTTATATTTTCCTGGAAAGAATGATCTTGTATTTTTTTAAAATACAAAAGCAGTAGTTGTGTATTGTAGAGTATTACAAAAGCAAATCTAAGTGTGCATGTGGTATCCTGGAAGAAGCCTATTCACATTTTTTATAAAAATGTTTAACATTTTAATTGTTCTTTATTACAAAAGCATCCATCAAGTATGTATTTTAGGTGTGAAAATCGAATAAATTGCTTTTTACAGATGTGCAATGCTTTGCATGCTACTCCACTGATAAATTTGTCCTCTCCACTGGGGGGCAGGTCAATGTGTTAGGTTGCCGTGTTACCACCAAATTATTGTTTAAATTCACATATAGAAATAAAAATATATATTTTTACTATACAAAATTTAACAAACTTTCAAAGCCATAAAAATATAGGCTGGGCTCATACATATAACAAATAACGATCACTTTGAGAGCTATTACTACATACACATTCATAACCCCACCACATATGCAGCATTAGTTTGTGGCTGTGATTTCTCATCCACTTACCACACATGTCCATATTACCTTGCTATATGTTTGTATAAATATGTATTTTATTCATGAATAGATTATCCTTCTTTATCTCTGGTATATAAAACTGTAATAGGCTTGTCCCAACTCCTGAGGAAGCAGATCCCCACGGTCTGAGAAAACACATAGAGTGAGCCTTGACCTCACGAGTTGTACTGTATAACCACCAAATATTGATTTTTTTTTTTTTTTAAGCCCGTGGAGCGTGCATCAAAAACATCCCGTGAACAAAAAAAGTGAATCATGAAATCACAACACGCTAAAAAAAATAGTGCCTTGGTATTCCTCTGATAAGGAAGGGCTACGATTTCCTGAAACCCCCGGGGAGCAAGGCTCCTAACAAGGGCAAGGACGACTTAGGCCCACCCACCCGAAGGCCGACGGACCCCTCTCCTTTGGGACCTGCTGAAACAGGTCCACCGAGTACTAGGTAGGGGCTTCCCCCGAAGGGAGACCCCCTGAGTGGGAGGAGGCAGGAAGCCCAAAGAGGCCACAGAATCTCCTCCCCACAAGATATTGATGGTGATCATATATAGTGCATGGGGTTATGAATGCAATCTGTATTTGTAATATAATATATACATCCAGTCTATTGTTTATGGTTTTTGAGGGTTTCTTTTGTTAATTTTGTATAATGAAATATATTTTTTTAATCAACAAAACATTGCATCTAGATCTTTGTGGCACCTGAAAAGTCCCAATCTACTGACATTCTAGTTAACAATTCTCAATTTTGGGGATGTGGTACACTTGCTCTAATACGATTAATGCATGGCATAGGTGTGGATGGGCCCTGAATGAAGTCTTATTGTCCCCACATAGTATGTGGCGCATACCTTATTTTCTTTTTTCTTGATAGGCTAGAGGGGCACACAGTGAGGTACATCTCACCAGTGATGAGAGGTTCTAACCTTTATCCACTCTATCCAAAATGCCTCAATTCTGCCTGGCTTACAGTAGATAAAAACAAACAAGGGGGCAGAGAGTGCAAGGAGGGAGAGAGAGAGATGACTGTCCAGTGGAAAGATGATGTGTGTTCTACATATGTGTATTTGTTAGCTATAGATATATAGTATATATGTCAATTACAAGGCCCGCGGGCCAGAAACGGCCTGCCACAAGGTTTTATCAGGCCCACCAGTCCCGAGCTTTGTACCGACAGCGACAAGCAGGGTTCATTTTTTTTTTTTTCCTAGCCTGCGCTTAGGCAGAAAAAACTTGGAGCAACAATTCAGCCAGTCGCCCTCTGAGGACCCCGCACCTCCCTCCTCGGCCGCAGGTTCCTCCTCGCCTCTGCTTCTGGTCTTTGTGGCTTCGGTAAGTCTTGCTGTGTGTATGAGAGACTGACTGTGCAAATGGACAGGGACTGCTTACACTTGTAGTGCCCCCACACACAGGACTGTCATATAATGGACAGTGGCATCACAAGGGGTGTACGGCCCACACCAGGTGACACCAAAATGACTCATCTTGGTGTCACCCCCTCTGAAAAGTCGGGCACTCGGTCATGGACCGAGTGTCCGACAGCTGTACAAGAGAGGAGGGGACCTGGCGTCCCCTCTTCTCTCTGCCGACATCTATCAGCGAGGTGGCTGCCGGCAGTCAACTGCGCATGACGTCATTACCTGCGTAATGACGTCCCAGCGGATGACACCCAGCGGCCGCTCCCATAATGGACAGGGACTGCTGACACTTGTAGTGTTCTCACACACAGGACAGTCATATCATAATCCTGGTGTGCTCCATCTGCAGTACATAGCTGTGGCCCGCTAATCATTATATAACAGTCCTGCATGTTTGGGCACCACAAGTGTCAGCAGTCCCTGTCCATTATGACTGTTCTGGGGGGGGGGGGTGTACTACAAGTATCGGCAGTCCCTGTGCATTATATGACAATCCTGGTGTCCTGTGTGTGTGTGAAGGCACTACAAATATCAGCAGTCCCTGTGCATTAAATGGATAGGGAGTGCTGACCCTTGTAGTGCCCTCGCACACAGGACACCAGGTCTATCATACTATTAGCGGGCGAGCTTAGCACTGCAGCAAGGTTATTTTTTTGTCTTCTTTATGTCCAGCCCCTTATTTTATTCACAACCCTCAGCATGCTCTTAGTAAGTTTGGATTTGGCACCCGGTATATAACCTGAGGGACCATTCCCCGGTGACCATCCTCTAGTAACAGCGTGTGCATGGTCCATTCATTCGTGTTGTATTCTCACACACATGTAATGGTGCCAGCGTTAGCTGTGCTTGTTACATGTATTACAGTACACATTGTCCCCCCTCCCCCTCGGCCATGCCATCTCTCTCCCACAAGGTGCAGATGAGTCCAGGCCTTGTTTTGTGCTCGGTGTGTCTGACTGTGTTGTGTGTCTCCCTGGCAGACCGAAGCGGCAACCGAAGCCCTCATCAGACGAAGGTTACTGGGACTGCAGTGTGTGTACCTTCAAGAACAGCGCCGAGGCCTTCAAGTGCCTTATGTGTGATGTACGTAAGGGGACCTCCACTCGGTGAGTGTCACTTCATCTACTCCTCGTCACCTGGCCTCTTCCTGCAGCCATGACACTCACCCCAGTGACCTGTGCACCGCTCATCTACCAGATTCCATCATTCCAGACTTACACTGCAGGCATGCTGAGTACATGTATCATCTGTATGTTGAGACATGGCAGGGATTACATTCCCTCCATAGGAGGCACAGGGCTATGCACAGGCTATATACACCACCATACATCTGGATCTGTTGTGTTTACTGCTCAGGACAACTTTGTAGCAGCTACAAACCTCTCTGATGGGTTTCTCTATGTGAATTCAGTGTACAGATCACTGGTGGGCCCTGGAGAACACACACATATGTCCATTCTGTATGTAGAGTCAAAGACCATCATTTCTCAGTGACTGACATACATAACACTGCAACACACAACATTCACAGATGAAGTTTAATCTGCGTATATTTTGCCCTCCCTGGTTCCTCCCCCCCCATCAACATAATACCATTTTTTAAATAAAACATTTGCGTTTTCATTACATTCCTCATTTTAGACCGAGGGATGTGATCACTGTGAAATGCACGATGATGGTGCTGGCTGACAGGATCCTGTGCCATTACAGCACCCTGCCTTGGTACTCTTCTCAAGAGCCCTGAGCCTCCTACGTGTGGTTGCTTGTCTCCTCCACTGGGTCCAGGAAGATACCTGGCATTCCCTAAACTTCCTGGTTGTAGGGGAAGGTAGCGATTGGCTCATTCTGCTGTCAATCACTGTGTTGGGAGCAGAACGGTGGAGGGAGCAGGGGCATGGCTTGCCACATGTTGTTTGTCTGTGGATGCACACAGCTAGACACACCTCCTTAGCAGCCGGCTAGCTGATGGAGCCACCTGCAAACAGGGAGCGGTTTGGGGACCAACTAGAAAACAAGGAAATAGAAACATTTAAAAAAGAATAGTGAATTTATGCAAGTGTGGCCTCCTAGTCCTAAAAAGCTCACTCCCGTGATGGACTACAATCTCAGTACAAATGAGTAAACTCAATGTGAGATTATAGTCCATCACAGGAGTGAACATGGAGCACACACAGGGACCATGGGGAACAAAAGTAGCCACCCTCCAAAAGGAAGGACAGTGTCACCACCAATTCAGAGATGATTTGAGGATTTACAGCTGAGTGATGTACAAATAAATTGGTGACTAATGGTTTAATCCAGTTATGTTTTATTCTACCCCAAGCGTTGCCATACACTGCAGTGCACTACCGTGCATTGTGGTGCACTGCATTGCCAAAAATGGCGCAAGTCAATTTTTTTGATATTTGAGTGCATTGCCAGCCCATTTACTTAGAAGGGACACATTAATGCAACATGTTAAGGCGCATGCATTAATGAAATTTCACATTTAACTAAATGTCATTTTAACCACCTTCCGTCCATGGCCGTTTGTGAACGGCCGGACGGGAGTCTGCTAGGAGCGGGAGGGCGTCTTAAGACGTCCTGCCCCTCCCCCCTCTCGTGTGCGGCACTCAGCTACACGTAAACATGCGTCGGGTGCGCCTATGTACGAAAACGACGATTGCGCCCATTATGCAGCACATGTTACATATCGTCGCGAACGTCGGAGTGAGAGCAATAATTTTAGGGCCATCAATCACTGATAACACTAAACTCATGAGCGGTAAAAACGTTTAAAGTGTCGCCTATGGCCAATTTTGGTTGCGGTCGTTTTCTGCGATTTCGCGGGCGCGCGCAATTTTAAAGGTTAACATGTTTAGTGTCTATTTACCCGACGTGACCCCGTCTTTTATATTATACCAAAAAATTGGGGTGAAAATAAATGTTTCATAACATTTTATAGGGAAACATGCTTTTTTTCAAAATTTATGGTACTTTTTTTGTTATATAGTAAAAAATACCACCAAAAGAAAGCTCTATCTGTCCCCAAAAAATGGTATGAAATGTGTATCAGTACAGCGCTGCATGACGGAATAAATGTCAGTCAAAGTACCGCAGCGCTGAATACTGAAAAATGCCCTGGACAGGAAGGGGGTGAAACACCTGGTCTTCAAGTGGTTAAAACGGCAAAAGGGCAGCGGCTATTCATCCCAGTGCTGTTTACAGTAAGGATGTTCAGATACCAAGTACCAAAGTATCTGTACTTGTACCAAGTACCATACTCGGTAAAAGTACAGATACTTTTCGAGCTCCAAGACTAGACTAGAGAAAATTCAAATGTTAGGAGGCGGCCGTCATTTGTAGGGAGCATACGGAGCTCCTGGGATTTGTTTATCCCTGTTTTAATGTATGATTTTGGTTTTATAAATATATGTAAGGGATGCACCTATACAATTTTTTTACAAGTACTGATACTCGTCCAAGTACTCACAGATACAAGTACTGATACATTTTTGTTTATTGTCATGTGACAGTTTTCATAAAACAATACAGACTAATGATTTCAGGACAGTGGTGGAGCGCCAGGTAGTTCTCGTGAAAATGCCAAGTATCGACACTGGTATCTGAACATCCCTAGCTTACAGTGGTTCTCTTTGGTCCCAGCCAGCATGTACGCTGGAACTGCCAGCTGTCCGTGAAAGCAGGCATCCAGTGCTGAGCCCAGGAGCTGAAACTTTCACCTCCTGGGCTTCTGATCTTGCTACACAGCTCTCCATAACAGCATATGCAGCAGATCACTGTAAACACATTGCTTCTGAATTGCATTTACATTTGAAGTTAGGTAACATAACGGCACTTCCTTCTTGTAGGTAGAGCTGAAGCAGCACTTGCCTGCCTCTTTCTGCAGCAGCAGATCGCTCCTATAGTGGAAAGTAATACACTACTTATAACTTTGTCCCACTATGCAAGGTGTTCTGTGACTAGTTGAGGGGGATCCTGTAATTTACAAAACGCCTTGCAATTTTGAAAGATAATGCAAGGGGACAGGAAGTGGGTGGGCAAAGTCTTTCACATTAGCAGCAGCAGCCTCTCCCACTTGCAGCGTTAGAATTTCAACATTGTGGGGAGTATCCAGCATCACTGAAGAGAGCGTTATTACACTAAACAAAAGCCAGCAGAACACGGGATACACATTATTAAGGGTATATTATTACATTAGTGCTGTATGCCACCAAAACAACTTTTTACAGAATGTCAGCTTAAAAATTGCATTGCGAAGAATGAAAGTAAAAAAAAATACATTATTTTCCAACATTTAAAAAAAAAAAAATGTTTCTCCTAATTAAAACCTAAAATTAAATCTATGTATCCACATTTGCTGTCAAATTAAGGCCCTATCTGTCCTAAGAACAACAGTGTACAAAACCTAAAAGATGTCGAGCTTATGCATGCAGCCATATAAAAACAATGAAGTGCTGCTTTTTTTTTTTCTTAAAAGCTCTGAATGTGTGTGTATTGTTTTCTATGAGCTCACGTACACAGCTGTAAAAAAAAAAGAAAGTGCTGTGTTTTTATCAGTACATCTTTCACATGCGTACACTTCAAATGCGCTCTATTAACAAAGGACGCTAAGTTGCCCAGCATCCTTCGTTGCTAGGATGCAGGTGTTGTCTTGTTGCCTGGCGTCCTTCGTTGCTAGGATGCAGAGGGCTCCTTGCTGCCTGGCGTCCTTCTTTGCTAGGATGCAGAGGGCTCCTTGCTGACTGGTGTCCTTCGTTGCTAGGATGCAGAGGGCTACTTGCTACCTGGCGTCCTTCATTGCTAGGATGCAGAGGGCTCCTTGCTGACTGGTGTCCTTCATTGCTAGGATGCAGAGGGATCCTTGCTGCCTGGCGTCCTTCATTGCTAGGATGCAGAGGGCTCCTTGCTGACTGGTGTCCTTCGTTGCTAGGATGCAGAGGGATCCTTTATGCCTGGCGTCCTTCATTGCTAGGATGCAGAGGGCTCCTTGCTGACTGGTGTCCTTCGTTGCTAGGATGCAGGCGGCTCCTTGCTACCTGGCGTCCTTCGTTGCTAGGATGCAGAGGGCTCCTTGCTGCCTGGCGTCCTTCTTTGCTAGGATGCAGAGGGCTCCTTGCTGACTGGTGTCCTTCGTTGCTAGGATGCAGAGGGCTACTTGCTACCTGGCGTCCTTCATTGCTAGGATGCAGAGGGCTCCTTGCTGCTTGGCGTCCTTCATTGCTAGGATGCAGAGGGCTTCTTGCTGCCTGGTGTCCTTCGTTGCTAGAATGCAGACGGCTCCTTGTTGCAGTTGGGACACTATAAAAAAAAGTTTGACCTTGTGTAACTCCCCATGATAAGAAAAAATAGTGTACGGCATCATTTCATCTGGGACTGCTAAGCATATGTGTACAGGTGTATTTGTTCCTTATGGGACTATTTTTGCTTAACATATACCAGTGGACTAGATCTGGACATCATGCTGGAAAGAAGCTTGGATGTCATGATGCACTGTTAGTCTATAGCTAATGTGCTGTGCTGTCAGCTGGCTTGATATTGCAGAAGGGATGGGTACTGAGATATATGAGCTTTGTTAATGAGATAGTGACTGCATGCTATGTGCCAAATGAATGTCTCACATAGCAGCCAATCAGGCACATTGTAGTATGATAATGGAAGCTGATTACCTGTCACAGCATAGCAATTCTGTTTCTGTGGCCGGGCAGAGTGTATGGATATGAAGATTGTCTAACCAGGTCCTGGACCTACAATACAGTAATAGGGTAGCTTATTCAAGGAGACACAGCTTGCTAATTGGTCAGTGAAGGAGCACAAGTACACTGATATGTCATAGGTCATCTCTTTGTTGGACTGACAGCACTTTGTAGTGCAGCAAACCCTGAATAGCTCCTAGCGCTTGCCCCTCCTCTTCCAGTGTGAGGCCTGCTGTGAGATAGATTACATGAATCTGCTATTAACAAAATATAAAGTGCTCTTAACTTCCTTACGTTCAGCTTTACGTTGATTAGAGCTGCTTTTAATATAATTTGATGTATGATGTTATGGATGGACAAGTGGTAGTGAAAAATAGGAAGGCCATAACAGTTTTCAGCAGTTTTTGATCTTGCAAATGTATGTTAAGGTCAGAAATTAACCCCATTGTATCTTCTATTTTTCATGGCTAATTGGACTCTCTCCTTTCCACGTTTTGTTGCAGAAATCTGTATTGGATACAAAATTATTTTATTCCTTACGTAAATACTAGGTGTTCTTGATATATCAAGAAATGATGCCGTGTTAATGTTTAGTATTTTTATTCATGCAGAAAACCTCGACCCGTTTCTCAGATGGTGGCACAGCAAGTAACACAGCAGTTTGTACCACCCATGCAGACAAAGAAAGAAAAAAAAGATAAAATAGAGAAGGAAAAGAGTGAAAAAGAAACACCCATTAAAAAGAACAGTAATAAGAAAACAAGGTATGACTTGCTGTTCTTAAAACGAGTGAAACATATGTATTTTTGTTTTGGGTAGGATTCTGTAATTGCTGTGAAACTACACGAGTAACATCTACATGTAATTCAAAATCATTGCTGGAGTCATGTAGGAAGAGAGTGCACTGGCAAATTTCAATTGTACCTTGCTAATGCATACTTTAATGAGGGTCATGAACTGGATCAACCAAGACTTGTCAAGGGTCATTACTTAGCAGTTCTTTTCTGGACTGAGGGACTTTTTAAAAAAAAAATATTTCTGTATTCAGTGTAACGATTGTGAGAGATTTTAGTTAAAGTGACACTAAACTCAGGGATTCTTAAAAAAAAGCATTCAAGTATCTTAATTATTAACGAAAATGTATCTAATTTGTGTATTACCCTGCTGTAGATCATTAAATAATCTCTGAATTTGTACTGACACTGTCCTCTCTTCTGGAGGGTGGTTACTGTTCCCCATGGTCCCTGTGTGTGCTGCAAAGTAGCCACCGCTCCAAGCTCACTCCTGTGATGGACTACAATCTCAATACTAATTAGTAAAAAAAAACATGAGATTGTAGTCCATCCCAGAAGCGAGCTTAGGACCATGGGGAACAAAAGTAGTCATCCTCCAGTAGGAAGGACAATGTTGGCACCAATTCAGAGATGATTTGAGGACCTACAGCTGAGTGATGCACAAATAAGATACATTATTGTTAATAGTTAAGGTACTTGAATGCATTTTTAAGATTTAACTCCTGAGCTTAGTGTCACTTTAAATCAAACTTTCTAATTGCCTTGTTCCTCTATGAATAAAATACTCCATTTCTTTTGTTTGCTTCAGGCCCCGATTGAAAAATGTGGATAGAAGTAGTGCACAGCATTTGGAGGTCACTGTGGGGGACCTAACCGTGATTATTACAGACTTTAAGGAGAAAACAAAATCCCCACCTGCATCCAGTACCACATTAGTGGATCAGCACAGTCAAAGTGGATCTGGCTCTGAAAACACAGAGAGAGGAATATCCAGGTCACCTTCGCCCAGAGGAGAAACGTCATCAGTAAATGGGGAATCACATTAAAGTTCTCTTCACCCTTTCTAGTCATTAACTGATATTGTGACAAACATCTTCTGCCAATAGTTACCACAGTTACATAGGGAAAACTCTAATGCTAATCTTATATTTTTCTGAAGAAAAAAATGGTTAGGTATGCACTTATTTTTTTAAGTCTACATTTGTAAGTGCACATTGGGAGATGCAGCTTTCAGGTAAGTAACACCAAATCATGAAACGGGTTCCTATAAAAGATCATATGTTCCTGCTCTGATCTTGTCAAGATGTTTGACTTGTTTAATTACAAAAATGTTTCAATAAATATAACTTGTTTACTGGATGCCATAGCCAAGAGCCAAGTAATAGCAATACAAGCTTACTAAAGAGCTGATAACATTCAGGGTCACCATCACTGGACTGTATATGTTTCATACTCCTGATTAATCTTTGATTTTAAGAATATATTGGTTTCTGTGGATACCCTTTAACGCAACTGCAATTTTATCAGTGGCCAGATTTCTGCAAACTCATTAGTAAATGTCTGTAAACCCTTAAGGTCTGCTCTTGACCCAGATTCCTAAAGGTGGCCAAACATGTAGAGAGAAGGTCTGTGTAATTCTGTCATGTTGGTAGATAATCTCATTGTTGAGGGCACTTGGACTGCATCAGATAATGTCATGCTGAAAAGCTGTCTGTGAATGACACCCGCTGAACTCCAGTTTTTGGCTTTGATACACAAGCCCAGGTTCCTGAGTTGAGTCCTTTTGATTGTGTGCAATTGCTTAAACTCTGATGAAGGGGGATAACTGAACCCCCAAAAAGCATTGGTTATCTGGTCATCTTCCTGATAATTGTAAAGTTAATAAAATATTGTTCTGGTGTGTTTTTGGCGCTCCCAGTTATTTGACTGCAAACAGATTTCTCAGACTGGGTTACCTCTGGACTAACTTCTGAACCCAGCTCATTGGGCCAAAACATAGACACTGCACCAACTACCTAGAAAACTGGGTCCAACGCCTCGCTTTCTCATCCTCTCTGATAATGGCAGGATTGTTTTGTCACTGGAAAAAAAGTCTATTGGGAAGGTTGCACCAATTCATCCCCTTTGCAGACTGATAAACTGCAGCATTGAAGTATCTTTGGGTTATCAAAAGAGGTTGTCCAGCATCTCCACACAGAGGCACCTTATCTGCATGCACATGTTTTGGAACGTGTGAATAATCTTTCCTCTTGCATTAGAAGTATTTTTGGGGGCATTAAGAATGTATGATGCTGTATGTTCATATACTGTATATAATACATTGCCATTTTGTCTCCATATAGACCATTTACTTTCACAAATAACATTGGTTTCCTATGACCTTACGTCTCACTTTACATCTGGAGGCATATGTGTTTGTGCATCATCATCGCCAGATAACGTAATGAAGTGACCTGCATTTATATCACTTTAAATTGTTCTTTGGATAGTGGACTGGAAAACGAAGGTTCAATGTTCCAGCTATTTTCAGACCACCTCATTCTATTGTGTATGGCCTCCTTTAGTGCTGGTTCTCAGGCATAGGTTTGAGAAATTTAGTCATTGGAAAAATAAAAAAAAAACATGTTTTTCCAGCTGCTTGAATGGCAGTTATGAATGTGAGTTGTATACATCCACCTGAGTGAATGCAAGAAAAAAATCTAGATCTGAATGTGCAGAGGTTCTTGACTTGGGGCCGGTTCACACCACAAAGGCAGCGTTCCAGAGCGTTCGGCCAGCTCCCTGCGTTCAGGGGCGGGAGGGAGTGTGACGGTGCATTGCAGTCAATGGCACTGCAGCCACGCCCGCAGTGCGATCGTCCGCACCCGGATCGCAGGCACATTAGTGCCTGCGTTCTGGTCCAGTGCGATCTGAAAAAATACTGCAAGCACTATTTTTGCAGATCCCACTGGACCGGAACGCAAGCACTAATGTGCCTGCATTCCGGGTGCGGGCGGTGGGCGTGCGCCGCCTCTGAATGCAGGGAGCCGGACATGGTGTGCGTTCCAGAGGCCGAACGCTCTGGAAGGCAGACTTTGTGGTGTGAACCGGCCCTAGAACATCCATCTCAGTCCTTGTTACTGCATAAGGTTGCTTATACTATATGGCATCACTTGAATATATATAATAGGCCTAAGACAAAAGGGGTCCAGTCACACTATAGCACATGTGCTAATGTGCGTTGTGTTGACATGTATCCTAGAGGCATTGAGCTTTGCTGTGTTTTTGAAAGAATTTCTTTGCATCCAGTGTGAAAGAGTCCTAATACAAATGTTTTAAGCTTGTAAAAAGCTCCGCACGTATCTACTTGAAACAAAATTTAAAGGTATAGAAGCCCTTTCCATTTTTAGGTGTTGCTAACCCTTTAAGGGGGAATACTACTGTGCGTATGTATAAATGTATAGAGTACTTTCCAACCATTCTTTCTTACATAGTGTGCTTGTAATACATTTGAAATAAAATACACCACTAATTTTCTGGATGGGACCCTAAAAATTTGCTTAAAGTCCAAACCCAGCCAAAAAAATTAGTTTGTTTGAGAGAGAGCTAAAAAGGGTTCGAGCCCCATGCCAGGTTTGTATTGCTGTGCGTGTCCCTGTTGGGAAGATTTACCCTCACATTCTCTCAGGTCAGGAAGTGATGAGAAATCTCTCCCAAAAGGGACACAGACAAAACAAATTCACAATATATAGTGGGGAATGGTTAGAACTCCTGGCAATTTTTATTGCTGTACGTCATGCCTTCCTGTCCCAGTTAAGACCATAGCTCCCATTTTCTGTGTGGGTGTCACGGAGATAGGAAGAGCGATAAAATATTTTCAGTGGGGTCAAAGTAAGAAGTAGAAATCTTCTTCCCATAGTTCATAGCAAAAAAAAAAAGGCTGGAATTGGGCTTTAAGGAAAAACATGACAGTTTGTTTCACTAACCTTCAGATTTGAGTATAGAGATGCTCCTTCTGAGACAATTTGTAAATTCCGTTTGAGGAGAAACATGTTTGCTGCTTCCTAAGCCTCATATATGTTCAACTGGCGAGGCTGCAGTAGGCTGCCATTGCTGTCCTTCTAAAACTGCTGATTGCTGGCCTGTCCCTGACTTCAGTACTATAAGTCGCTGATCTGGAAAAAGTGAAGTCACAATACTTGATCTGTGCACTTGTTTGATGTAAGCTACTCGAGGAGTATCAAAGCCCTTCGAACTGCTCAACAGCCAAGCAACTGTCTCTCCCAAAAAGAGAGGAAAGTCATGGCATGCTACATATTTCTGGCAATGCAGGTTCTGTGTAAGAAGCCAACTGGTAAATAGAGAAGTATGCATCATTCAAGTAAAAATGCATTTACACACAAAGCACAACTACAGCCTTCAGGTTCAGACATTTTGATCAGGACAGTAAATGGGTAGGTTCCTGTGTGTAATTGCAACTCTACTTTAAAGTGACAAAAACTCAGGAATTCAATCTTAAAAATGCATTCAAGTACATTAACTGTAAACATAAATGTATCTTATTTGTGTATCACTCAGTTGTAGTTCCTCAAATCATCTCTGAATTGGCGCTGACACTGTCCTTCCTTCTGGAGGGTGACTAGTTTTGTTCCCCATGGTCCCTGTGTGTGTTGTAATGTAGCCACCGCTCCCGTTATGGACTACAATCTCAATACAGATTAGTAAACTAAACATGAGATTGTAGTCCATCACAGGAGGGAGCTTGGAATGGTGGCTACTCTAAAACACACAGGGACCATGGGGAACAAAAGTAGCCACCCTCCAGAAGGAAGGACAGTGTCAGCAGCAATTCAGAGATGATTTGAGGATCTACAGCCGAGTGATACACAAATAAGATACATTTCTGTTAATAGTTCAGGTAGTTGAATGCATTTTTAAGATTTAACTCCTGAATTTAGTGTCACTATAAAATCAGCTGATATTGGTGAACCAGGATCTTTTCCTCAATACTAGAGCATAGGTTAAGAGGGATACCCCCTTATGAAATCAGACTGTATTCAATAGCAAAATCAAATATTGTCACATCATACTGTAAATAGGATTTTTGCCTAACTAACAAATGAACTAAGCTTGTGAATAGGCTGAGATGGTGGGAAAAAAATATAAGCATTAATATTGGTTCCTCAAAAATTGTGAATACCGAAAAGGAGATCAAATCCAGTACCAAATGAAAGGATATTTCTTGCACATATATGTTTGAAGAACGGTATACATTGTGTAGGTATGATCTCCTACTCGACAGTTTGTAATAGTATAAGTGAAGGAGAACGATGTATTTTCCTTTAAATATGACTGTTTACATTGAGTCCCTATTGGTGATATACACTAGAGCCCTCTGTGTACTAAATATTTTCAGGCACAAAAGGTTTGAGCACACATTTGTAGTCTTAAATGTTACAAATTAATGTTGAAGTGCCATGGAGATGTGGTTGATCATTTTGTTATGCAGTGTTATTAGTAATTCCATCTTCACTTTTAGGTTAGTGAGTACTAACACTTCTTGAATAGATTTTTACAGGCATGTTTTGAAAATAAATATAGTTCAAGCTGCATAAATATGTATTATTTGGTTAAAAAATTGTGATGCATAGTTTTATCTATACAGCTCAACAAATGAATTTAGTTAACTTTTACTGCTACAGGAATCTCAAAGTAACTATTTTAAATGCACCTGCTGGTACTTGGTGTGATTTTAAATAGGAAAAAATATAAATAAAGCCTTTGTATGAAATGTTGCCATTTATTTTCTTTTTACAAGTGTATTTTGGGCAACTGTTACTTTGGATTTTGCGCTGTAACAAGTTGTCATGTATTACAACGCTGGCTGGTTTGTTTTTGTTTGCTTTGCTGCGTTTTTTTTTGTTTTTGTTTGTGTGTTATGGTCAAATCAAAATTCTGCATTTCAAGTTAGTATTTGCCATGAGCTGAGTAATAATTTAGAATCCCTTATTTTGAATTCTGGTTTGTTTTTTTTACTCAAAGCTGTGTAGTTTTTATATGTTCTGTTTTTACTTCCATTTACTTTAACGCTCTAAAACGTTACACATCAGGGAGAAGGAACTGAATTTTTATATATATATTTTGTTTTGCTTTTATACTGCCATTTACTATCTGACATACTGTAAGCAGGGCACAGACATGTCTGTGAAATGAACCTATGGCGTCACAGCCGGGTTCTTTAAAATTAGTAACAGGTTTTAATAGTTTAATATATATTTTGGTCCAGCTTTTTCTTTTCTTATTTTAGTGTATAGAGGATATCACAAAATGTAAAGAGAACACCTCCCCAGTTCATTTTTTTTTTGGG